TATAATAATTGAGTATTTTTCAAAAAGTTTTAACTTTCAGATATTTTCACACTAACCAGGGCTAAGTTTAAAATATCATACTAGCAAAGATTACATGGTTCTACCAAATTTCGTCTATTTTTTAATATTTCTTAAATGCTGGTAGTCAGAGTTCGAATGAAGGCCCATAAATATTATTTTAACTCCAATTTTTTTGGAATGCTTTTGTACAATTAAGGATTAATTTCGTTATACCTAAATTAATTTGATCAGTGTATTGACTTGTAATTGAATTGAGTTGTAAATTGTGGGTACGGTGGCTTTACCTAACGATTTTTTAAGTAAATTTTGCAAATCTCTTTTGTATATGCAATATCCATAAAATTACGTTCGAATAATTTAGAATGAATCCCTTTCCTCACGGAGAATTCGTACGAAAGAAGAACAAATTAAAGTTTGGAAAATGTGTTTATTTCTTATCGAAAAATTGGTAATATTTGTGTTTCTCAGCTGCATTTTGTACCCTATTTTTAGACGAACTCGCTAAGAAGGAGAAGCGTTACCAATAATATGAATAGCGACGCTCATGGCGTACATTATTATATAACGACATCACCAATGATTATTTGCCTATTTCATAATATTATAAGGCTGCACGTAAAACTTATGCGAGGGTTTTCATAAACTTGATTGCATCACAGGATTTAAAAAACGTAACTCAATTGAGGACTGTTTTTTTCGCAAAATGTACTCCTCAGATGAAACAACGCAATGGAGTCTTAATTTTTCATAGAATTTATTGCTTTCAATTCGAATAGTGCTAAATAAATAATGTCAAAAGGGCAAATCTATAAATGTAAATCTAAATAAAATTGAAACAAAAATGTTTTCAGTAAGTTTAAAGTAATCAAATCGAAAAATACCAATATGATGAATTGAAAAATCTTCAAGATGGCGAATTTCGAAGTTTTATGAAATCTTCTTATAGTGTTCAATTAGTAATTGTTTTAAATTACTTATACATGTGAATGTTTTAAAATCTGAATTAAGTCAAAATTACGAAACACAACATTATTTTCAAAGAAATCATTTAAATATTTCGAAATTCATGATTTTTTTCATAAAATTATTTTCATTGAAATTTTCTTTTTACAAAGAACAACATGATAATGGCGCATGTTTTATATTGTTCTTCCTTATTATCGATTTTTCTTAAAATAAAACGCATGTATGTTAACTGCGTTATTTACCGCATTTATAATTGTGCGTAAGAGGGAAGTATATTCATAAAATAATTCAACAATTGAGATTTGTCTATTGCCAAAAATTAATTTCTTAAGCTCAAAAGAACGTAATTTTTATTTTCTTCAAAAAAAATACATAATGCCCGTAAACTATCATAAATGGTCGCCATTTTTTTTTATGTTGATAGAAAAAAAATTTGTTCTTTATAGTGTCATCTAGTGTTAAATATTATAAATAATTTTTTATTATTAGTAAATAACTATTCACAATAGTTTTAGTTAATTCACATTTTAGTGTTGTGATCACAATCTACATGCACATTTTATATATGTATAAGTATAGTAAACTTTATCGTAATTTTTACATAACAGCAGCAAGCTTTACCCTAGTTTCCGTTTGATCAATTTTTTTATACATTTAATTTTTATTAAAATAATTTTCAAAAGGTTTACAATTAAAGATTTCCGTTCTCGTAATATCGTAAAAAAATTTCATGCACTTTGTTGCAATTGTGAATTGAAGATAAAATTCACAATCATGCAATATGCTTATTTTTATTGTTGAATGAAAATTTTTATTGTAACAAAATTTGAAGTGAATATTCTACAGAAATATAGATGGCGCTGCAAAATATTTTTGTTATATTTCAAAATTTTTTTTTTGAATATTGAAATGAAAAATGCACACGCGTCCATTTTGTTTTACAATTTATTTCTTTAGAAAAAATTATACAAAAGGGCTGGATATGTTGTTAAATTTTATGCTATTGCCATAATTATAATTTTTGGGAGTAATATTCCTGGGTTTCATTATTTGAAATGGTATGTTGTAAAATTATTGAGTTTAATTTTTTAAGGAAGGGCTGTTTTTTTTTAATTCTTTTTGAATTTTGAATTAAAGCATCTAGATTTATATATTTTCAAATTATTTTGTGATAGTTGAATACAGAATTTTCCAAAATATATTTTAAAATTATTATACGCCATCTAGCTATATATTGTATATGAAGATAATACGCCTAGAGTTAGATTGTAGATTGTAGATTTGTATAACGGGGGCAACAGTGCATCGCGACCATGTATAAGGATCTATTGTGCGGCCCTCTCCGAGTGCCGGGCATGCCCTACAGAACACCCTCCAGACCCACTCTCCTGATGAACTCAAGCAACTTGCGAGGACCAGTAGACCGTAACCCCGCCACCGTTAGAGTTAGTTAGAGTTTCAATTTACGCCTAGAATTACTTAGGAAGAGTTTTAATCCAATTTCAAAATTTACAAAATCTTCTTGAATAACTTTTTCAAATATAATATGTAGATGGCATATCATACCACATATAGATGTTATACAGTTTAGCCAATAAATTTTGACATTAATTATTATTATTTATTTTTCATTATAATTGCTAAATACTTTAAATTTTTTGTTATATATAGAAGTCCTCTTATTAATCTTCCGAAAATTTCTATTTATTTATTTGTATATATATATATGTATGTACATATAAAAATTCTTCTTAACTAAAGCTTGTTTTTTCTACTATAGGCGTTATTTACGTATTCAATGTACACTGTAAAAAATTTCTTGAAAATTGCTAAAAAAGTTTAGTAATTCTTACTACAATTAATGCAGTAAATACGCTATAGCATATTAAATTTTACTTGATTTAAGAGTAATTTTGCAGTTAACTCGATCAGCGAGTAAATTTACGACAAAATAGTTGTTTACGACAAAATCGTTGTTTACGACAAAATATACGACAAATTAATGTTGAAAAGTGATTTTACTCTAAAAGAGAGTAATAATCATACATCAAATTAAATTGAGAGTAAGTTAAATTTTACTTTTTTATGAAGTGTTTTGTGACATATTACTCTTTTGTAGTGTAATTTTTAATGACAATATGTCATGATTTTTGAATCTCTTTTCAGTTTTAATTGAAAGCGATCAGATTAAGGTTGTGTTTGAATGATAATCTATATTTATAGTAAATTAAAATTTTAAAATAATTTCAAATTAAAAATATGTAAAATTATGTTGTTAAGTTGTCAAAAACAAAAATTGTTTAAATAATAAATACTTATATAAAATATTATTAATAACTGAATATAAAAGTCTAAGTGTAGAATAATTTAGGCAATTTAAAATTCCATGAGAAATATTGAAAAATAAAAATGATGCAGTATTACTTGAACAAAAATACTTCTTTTCTAGTAAAATAAATTACTCCTTTGACAGAAGGAATAGTACACTATACCTAAATATAAAATACTATACCGAAAATTAAAATTAGTAGTTTAAACTCATCGAACAGTAATTTTTGTACTATTTTGTAAAGTATAGAGTTCCTCTGAAATGTAGTAAAAAATTTCCTCTATTCCAAAAATCGAAATGCGTTAATTACTTTTCGGCGTAAAATTTTACTAGAGTCGAGCATTTTCATTACAATTATACTAGGAATTCAGATTCCTAGTATTATTGTAGTAATTTTATACGAGTTTTTTCTACAGTGTATATATAGTCTTTTCCATGTTATACGCATATTCAATCGTCCTTGATAACATTATAACAAATTTTAATTCGCATTATTGTATTTTCAAATATTTCATTTTTTTTCTTCTTCTTTTGTTTTAAAAATGTTGTCTTAATTTTTTTTCTTTGTAATATTAGTGTTAGTAAGTTCGATAGCTGTTGTACACTTATATAACTATACAAGGTTCGAAGTTTTGTGTTATAAGAGTAGAGTGATATATAGGTGCGTTTATAATAATTCATATTGGAATTTTAAGCATTTTTATGTCAAAATGAATAAGTGAGGGTATTTAGAAAATTTGAGAGAATTAAAGCAATAAAAAAAAAAAAAATATTAAAGATTTACATAAATAATTTAAAATTAAAAATTGGGAGTTGGGAATTCCGTTTAAAGGGATTTGTGATCAAGGATTTTTGTTTTGTTTTCTCTTTGTAAATAAAACAACAATTAAATTTTTTGTTTATTTTTTTTTTATTTTCAACTTTAAAACATCAATTTTTTTTTACTTTTCATTTATTCTTTTTTAAAATTCGAATCTATTATTTATAATTGTTACAATTATTTTGCTTTTAATTTATTTTTTTTTTTTATTTATTTATTAATTTATTTTAAAATCTAATTGTTATTAGCGAACTTTATCATACCCCAAAATTTTCTAAAACGTTTTACGATTTACAATTAAAATTAATTTTTTTTTTATTTTCGTTTTTTTTTTTTTTTTTTTTTTTATGGCCTATACAATAGACAGAGTGTGATAAATTATAATTTTCATTTGTTGATTTTTTATTTTTAAAATTTTTATTATTTTTGATTAGATTTATAGTAAAATAAAATTTTAATTTTAAGAATTGCATAATTATTAAACCAAATAGAAATTTCAATGAAAAAGTATGAAACAATTCTTAAATTTCTCGGACCCAGTCGTTTCCTTTAAGATTCTGAATGTGCCATTTTGAATTCTAAGAATGATTAATGTGCGTTACTTCGAACCATATTATGATTTGAATAGTTTGATTATACTGAAATTAAAGTTTTAAAACATTACAATCGAACAATATTATGTTCGAGTTTGATTTCATACATGATATGTTCGAATACGGAAAACTTCATTCATTCATTTTGTAATGTTAATGGAAAATTTTTTTAATAAAAATTCAAGAAATCAAATATTTGAAATCGAATTAAATATTTTGTTTTGTGAAAATTTTCAAAAACTTTGCTCTAACTTGACTAATAGATGAATAGTTATGTTTGAATGCCCTATTTGTATCAAACTGTTTGTATCAAACCTTTTGTATGAACTTGCTTTTCTCCCTTCTCTAATTGGAACATATTATAGAATAAAATTTTAAGAAATTCAATTAAAAGCTTCCTATCTACACAAAAATTTAATAATGAAATAATAAAAAAAAATTTTAGCTACATTTTTTAAAAAATAAATTAATTAAATTGAATATTGTATTAAAATTGAAATAAATATCACAATAATTTTATATTTTATTTTAAAATTTTAATTTCCAGATTAATTGAAATCCTTTTTGTATTTTTATTTTATTTTGATTAAGAGTGCTTTTAGATCGATTATAAATTTCCAGGATTTTCTCTTTTGATCTCGTAACGTCAAATTGAATAATGCCATTTCTGTACTATATACATACAATAACATTAATCTGGAATTATTTTATATATAATATTATTTATAAATATTTTTAATTTTATAATTTAAATATATTTTCCTAAATCATCATGAAAATCTGTTAAAAATGCAATTAATTGATTTAATGATGGACGTTGTTTTGGATCAGCTAACCAGCAACATGACATTACAGTATAACTATACACATACATATATAAATAGAAAGAAATAAAAAAAAAAAAAACAAAATTAGTAAAATTAATAAAAATTTTGAACTTTATATAAAATTGAGAAAATCAATGAAAAACTACTAACAATTCATCAGGGCAATTAACTGGTTGACCCAAACGGAAACCATCATTTAAATATGGTCCCAATTCAAATATATCAACTTCTTCGAATGGTTGATTTATTGATAATGTTATAAGTTCCCAATATAATACACCTAAACTCCAAATGTCACTTGTTGATGTATGAATACGTTTTTGAATTGTCTCCAATGCCATCCATTTAATTGGACGATTTTCATTATCCCCGAGGCAATGGTAATCATCCGGAAATAAATCCCTTGACAAAGCACTGTCACAGATTTTTACATTGAAATCACCATCCAAGCTGTGAAAAAATAATTTAAAAAAAAAAGAAAAAAATCAGTGGAAGAAAAAAAAGAGGGATGAAAGTTTTGTTTAATAACGTTTTCATTTAGTTAAAAATTTGTTTTCTTTTTTTTTTTGTTTTTCAAATGAATTTCGGTAAGGGTGGAAATTGTCTTTTTTTTGTTTTAAAAACAAAACAAAAAATTATGTTCGTGTAAGAGAGAAGACACGTCAATTTAAATATCGAATATGTATGGAAATTGAAAAAAAATGGTACTATAAAATAGTAACTATAGGGTTATCTACTTATAAAACTAGAATTCGGTATTGAGCCATTCAAACATGTGTAGAACAACATTTGACTTAAGAGGTTTCACAATTTATTATTTAAAATTTCCAAAAGTGACTCCTATAATTAGAGAAAAGGCATATTAGAAAATAAGAAATAATTTAATTTAATAACCTATAAGTATTAAATCAGACAAAATTTGCCACAGACAAGTATGAAAGAACAATAGCATTGAAAAATGTTGAAGTAAATCTAAACACTAAATTGTTATACTGATTTATAATTGACTCTCATATCTCAATTCACTTATGAAGATATTACATTACATGCAAGATATTACATGATATTTCATTATTGTATGAAATACAAGTGTATCATACATGTATGACATACATGTATGAAACATAAAATTCTAAAATTTTATTATTAGAAAATCTCATAAACGTTTCAATAAAAATTCTGAACTGTTTTCAAAAGTTGATTTTGAAAAAATTATCATTAAAATTTTATTATATAAGCAAAACTTTTATACAAAATTTAAATGGAAGAGTTCAGAAAATGTTCAATATAGGAAAGCAAACAAAAAAAAAAAAAAAATTTAAATTAGTGCCTTTTTTTTTCTCGTAATTTGAATATATTTTTTCTATAAATTTTTGTAAATGCTTCGTTTAGAAATTGATTACTAGGGCGTACAAAAATTTACTGAACTGGTATGGTGGTAATGATAATGGTAATGGTTATAATCATAAGAAGGAGGTATGGTAAACAGTTATGTAGCAATTCGTAATGTGGATGGGGAGGAAGGTTGATAATAATAACAAATGACTGTGGGGATTATAATAGAATGGTGGAGTTTTCAAAAAAAAAAAAAAAATTTCCGAAAAAAAAAAAAAATTTGTTATTTTGTTTTTTATCATTGTCCATTTGTTTTCTGAATTTTTCTTTTAGCTTTATATTATCCTTTTAAAGGATATACGTTCTTTCTTTTTTTTATTTATTCATCACATATTTTTATTGTTGTTTTTAAAAAATTTGTTTCTTTTTTCGTTTCCCTTGAATTACGGCAAATTGATAAAAGATTATAGGAAATTAAAATTTTCAAATGATTTTAAATGTGTAATCATCTTGTCAATCATTAATAAAATACCAAAAAACAATAACAAGAGAAAGGAATAAAGAAAAACAAATCCCCATGTTTTTTTTCGGTCGGTAAATCATGCCATTTTTTCTTTCTAAAACAAAATTAATAAGAAGGGGGAGAAAAAATTTATCGAACCCAAAAAGGCGCAAATTATAAAGCAAGAATAAAAAGGAGAAAGAAAATAAAAGAGAACAACTATTTCTCTGTTGAATGCACACATATAAACACGTACAAGTACAGAGTGTTTATATTCAAATGAGAGAAAGCTACTAAAAAAGGGCAGACTTTACGGAATGCAAGAACTGGTTGCATATAATAATACTAAGGACAGCTATAAAGGTACTTTTCCTTATAATACACTCCATAATTGAGAGTAAAATAAAAGCAGGCCTCTTATAGAGAAGAATAAGCGTGATTTGTGGGGGAGGGGGGGTGTGGTTGCACCCACCAGTCTAACACAATTCGAATTTTCATGGATAATAATTACTCGAATGGAGTTCACCACTGTATATTACTTTCGTGGATTTCAAAAATGCTTTTGTTACAATCAATTGAAAGAGCATGGAAACCTTCAGCAAATAAAAGCATTTCAAACATAATAATCAATATAATTAAATCACAAAATGAAATTGCGGGGCTAAGGGTGTTTTATCAAGGTACATTAAGCAATTTAATAAGATCGGGAGCCGGAATATATTACAAATGCCCCCTCTCCATTTCTCTTCAATAGGGTGTTAGACAGCGTCATAAAAGGAGCAAAAACAACTGTTATAGGCATCAAAGGACCATCACGTATAGACTCGAAAGCCTGGAATATGCAAACGAGATAGCTCTACTGCTCGAAAATGCAAAGATATGCAAGATAAGTTGGTCTCCTTTTAAGCACTTGTAAGATAAAAAATGTGAGAACTAACGCCTTATAGAGCTCAAATTTATATAACGGCAAACACATTCAGTTCGGAAACCTGTAAAATTTTTTAATACATAACCTTACTTTATGAAAGAATACAGAGAGTTCAACGTGTAAACTGTACTCTTAATTATTTTTTTCATAAAAATTTTTGTATAACATCTTGTTTAAATTTCTATAATACATGTACATATGTATGTAAAAATATATAAACTTACAAACAATTCCTTGTAGCGATATCCTTATGAATAATTCCTATACTATGCAAATATGATAATCCTTTTGTAATTTTTAAAGCGAATTCAACTAATTGCCTTGTATTAATTGGAGTGTTTGTTTCTTTTGATTTTTGTAGGAAACTATGGAGAAATAACAGTATATAAAAGCAACAATTATTAACATGAAAGAAAAAGGAAAATATGTAGGTAAAAAATTTTTGTTTTTTTTTTTATTAATTAATTAATGCTTCAATTAAAAAAGAAATTTATTTTCGCTTTCTTTTTTAAAATCTTCTTTTCATTTTAATTTACTTCAATCAAATTAAATTAATAATCAATCAATCAATCAATCAATCAATCAATTAATAAAAAAATAATGAATTTATTATAAAGGCTGTAAGATAAAACCAACTTACATTTTTAATATTTCATTCTCTGGATATGGATAAGCAATTTCTGGTGGTCCTGGTAATTCAGTACATGCTAACATTGGTGATAATATATTTTGATGTGATATACCAACTAATAATGAAGCATCCGATAATAAACAACCAACTTGTGTTAATGATGCACCATCAATAACAGTTTTAATTAAAATTTTACATGAATCACCTAATTGCCCAGCATAAATTCTACCAAACATACCCTCTTTTATTATTTTTGTTGTTTCTAACATACCAGGTTGTATACTTGGTATTTTACGTATTTTTTCTTTAACATCTATTGGATTATTATAAATTTTTGGTGTTGGCATTACATACTGCTTAAAAAATGAAATTGGTGAGGAAAAAAGAAAACAGAAAATTTAAAAAAAAATTTAATTAATTCTTTAAGATTTATTTAAGTTAAATTTAAATACTTAATAATACAATTAATAGACTGAATTTCTGGTTCAACAGATGGATTACCTTGCGTAAATTAATACACTATATCCAATATGAGAAATGGAACCGTGACTGAATCCAAATTGAAATAACATTATACACGTTTATTAACTTATTAGCGGAAGACTATGGGCGGTTTGGAAGCAGCATTACTTGACAAGGGGCACCAAAATAAAGATTTTTGACGCGTATGTTAAATCGGTGTTCCTATATGGCAGCGAAACGTGGCTAATAAATTAGAACTATACAGATAGGGTGCGGACCTTCATAAATAAATGCTTACGAATAATATGCGGATTATTCTGACCAAGAACTGTAGTAAGTAATAAAGATCTCTGGGAATTTACAGGGTAGGAACCAGTATACGCCCAGATCAGAAAAAAGGAGTGACCAGTAATAAACATTCGAAGGCCAGTAAATAACATTCCACGTAAGACCCTTGAATGGAATCCGCAGGATAAAACGAAGGTAGGTAGATTCAAAGAAAACATCTGGCGCAGATCAGTAGAAAAAGAAATAAGAGGCGCCCGAAAAATATAGTCCGAAATAAAAGAAAAATCGCAGAACAAATTCAGATGATGAAGCTTTGTAGATGCTCCCAAAAGGAGTAGAAAAATGAAGAAAAACAAAATCCAGCCATATTAGAGCTTATAAACTGAAATTACGTTACAATTCAAGATTACCCGATTTTACCCAATTCAACAATTAGAACTTATAAGCTGAACTCTGCAGTAATTTGATATTATTGAAGTTAATTGTGTTTAGGAAATTTAGAACCCCAATTTTCGGATTAAAAACGCCATCTTTTGTTTCTTTTCATAACAATTTGTTAATGACTTGTAGTAAATTATAAAAATTATTGTTACATGTGAAATAATCTTGATAATTACTATAATTTCGTTAATAACAACATTTTATTAAAATTTATTGTACATTTAAAAACAAAAATATTTGTCCAATTTGGGTAAAAAATAATTAATTTCCAAATTATGTACAAGAAAACGAGTTAAAGTTAAATGTTAATGACAATATTGTACAATGAAAATTATTCAGAATCACTTTGTATCACATACCCTCTGGATTCCACATCTGTATATAAGTCTCTGTTAAATTATAGAAATCCTCTGTGACTATTTTAAATATTTATTGTTATAAAAAAACTAATTTTATAATGTTTATAACATCCGTAAGAACCGCATATATCCATGGAGTTAAAATTATAATTATTATAATTTTTAGTTTTTTTTACAAGATTCAATGATCCCAACTCTATAAAATATGAATTCTTTCTCTCTCTCTCTCTCTCTATAGTTTCTACATGAAACAACAAAAACAAGTTACTAAATTTATTTTTATCTTTCAAACATAAATTTCATTTCGTATACTGAAAAAACAAAAATCCTCTTCATCTTCTTATCCTAATTACATTAATTTTTTGATCCTTATTATCGTAATTTTTTTTTCGTACTAAATTTTCATAACATTTTAAGCTTTAAATATTAATAAATTTCTTTTTTGCCGGTTTCTATGCTTTTTTTTTTTGTTTTTGGTAAAAGAAGTCTGTGACAAAGGTCCAAAACAAAAAAAAACCAACTTAAATATTCACAAAATAAAAGTGAAAAGAGCAAAAACGAAAAATAATCAACAGAACAGTAACCACAGAAACTTAAGAGAATTAAAAAACAAAAACCTCTTTGTCACTTCTATGTCACTCATAACTTTACAATTCAAACCATAATGTCGCCACCATTTCCACTATACAGCTTACATATAATTTCAACCTTCCTATCTAATATCGTGTCTTAAAATATATTTTTGTGTTCATCATCATCTTTCTACATAAATATTTTAATTCTATACAAAGTTAACTATTGGGAATTATGTTAACACTGTTTTCAGCAACAACAACAACAACAACAAGGACAACAGCAAGGACAAATGGTTAAAAAAAGCAACAAAAACTACATCAACAATAATAAATAAAACACAAAATTGAGAAGCTACATAAACTCTCAACAAAAAAAAAACAAGAGAAAAAAAAAATTAAAAACGAAAAGCTTTCCGAATAAAAAAAGGACAACAATATAACAACAACAAGAAAAGATTGTCATTGAAAAGCCACCAAAAATAAAAATAAACAACAAAACATAAACGAACAGTAAAAACAACTCTAAACGACCATTAAGTTTCCTTAAAAGTTTCTGATGTCATTGATGTTTGGGCTTCTCCCAAACCCCCCTCTCCTTCCTTAATTCTCATTATATTATGGTTTTCGCTTATAAAAAAATATTTTTGAATATCATTTTTATATTTTTATTGTATTAGAGGTCCTTTGTGACAAAAAATTGTACACAATGTCAAAAGTGTAGATTTTTTCTCTCGCTTTTTTCTTAGTCTGGATTTTTAATATTTTTTAATGCTTGATAAAAACATAAAAATAAAAGTCTTTTAAGATTGTGATTCTTTTACAGTTCGTTATCGTTTTCGAAAGAGCACTAGATTTGATTATAAATATGGAGATAATTTAAAAAAATGTACATTTAAATTGTTATACATATGTAATTACTTTAGATAGATGAGATAGGGTTTACTGTGCTAAATCAATACAGATGACCTGAGATATGAAACGTAAAAAGTGAAAGATTAAAAGGCTCAAATTAAATATTCACTCTAAAGTTATGCTGAAAACCTTCTTCATGAGTTAGAGTAAATATTCAAAGTTCCTTTGACACAACGAGGATGTTCATTTTTGCCCTAAATTCTGCGTTATCCATTAGCAGAAGGAGTGTGGTTATAAGGAACTGAAGGGTTATATATATGCTCGTAGAAAAACTGCCAGAATCTACAGGTATCGTTTATCACGCCATATTGTTGTTGAATAAAGAAATACCTTGAAGGTATTAAAGATTTCTAAGTAATCTTAATTAGTGAAAGTTCGGCTAATATAAGTAAACAAAAAGAGAATATAGTTCTAAATATTGAGTATGTATTGTGATATTAAGCTAGATAACTATTAATAGAAACACCATTGACTAGAGTTGTACAACAAAAAAGAGTTTTCTATAAAATTATAATTAAAATTCAGAATACCTTCCAAGTACTATTGACCGACTTTGTATACAAACAGGAAGGTTATATAATGGCTTCAAATTTTGTATATTATAGTTTTGGGTGGAAACGTCACCATGATAGGAAAGTTTAAACAAACTGTTTTTGGTCTGTTATTTTCACAGTCTTCAGTAAACTTTCACTAAACTAGGCAATAAGCAATACTGTCGGATAGGTGCTAACCACTTCAGTTTTTTTTTTAAATAAAGTAAATTAAGTTGCTACACCATACGCCAAATAATAAACAGTTGACAGTTTACGTCAAATTTCTCATACTATGTCAATAATGTAAAACAAACTCTTGCGGTCAATATTCGTATTATGTACAAATTTACTTTTGATACCATAATAATAATAATATACGATTTTTTGGTAGTTTTAATTCTGAATTGGATTTCGGTGATCATTCGTAAAATTTTGGGTATATAATCGTTAACAAAGCCCACAATATGCTCTCACATTGTGAAAATGACATTTTAAAATGACAAAAGTGTTAATAATTATTTATTTTTTAATGAATGACTTAAAAAATTTTATTATTGTTAAACAGAAATGTAAATTTTATTCAAAAACTGTTATTTGTGCATGCCTATCTATATAAAATACTAGTCCAAGTTTTCGGGAATATGTTCTATGTGGAATAGAGTTGTAATTTCTCTTCTTTGGCTTTGAAAGGATTTCTGACAAAAATTTTTATTTTGGTTGTACTTTTTTTTTTGTAAAAAATAAGTTTTTATGGAAGAGCACAAATACAACGCAAAAAAAAAGAAACAAGTGAAAGAATAACGGTACCATATAATATTTAAAAACAAAAGTTACCACATATTTTTTAAGTCACATGGGGAACAAAAGTTTTTCCCATTGAGATGATGAAATTTTTATTTGAAAAACAAAAATTTTTTTTTTTCTTTTTATGTTTTTATAATCCAAAGTAAATGAATTTATTTTAAATATAATTTTGAATTTTTTTTTTTTGTATGACACCTCCAATACTACTAATATTTGCCAAAATGTCACAAAACTTCGTAGTTGTTGGGTTGTTTTTTTGTAAAATTAATAAAAAATCGTTAAAAATTATGTAAATTTTGTTTGACAAAAATTCATTATTTTCTCTATGTAGAAAAATGTCCTTTTTTCGTTGTTTTCTCGTAATTCCATGGAAAAATTAAAATAAATGTTAAAATAACAGAAAAATATGAAAATAATGAATAAATTTAAATTGCAAAATATTAAGAAATTTTTATTTAAAACAAAAATATTTGTTGAGGTTTTCTTTAAAGTTTCTTTACAAAAGTCAAATAACATTGTGGAAATTTAAAAAATAAGAACCATTTTTGTTCTCATGAATTTTACTTTTGTGAATAAATTGGGATCAATGGTGAGAGAGGGGGTTAGGGAAATTTCGAATATTTTCAAATTTTTCTATATTCAAAATAATCATTAATTTTGACAGTCATTAAATGAGAAAATTTCCCTATGCTAATTTGTGAAATGTGAATAAATATCATGACAATGAATTATTCGTGAATTATTCCGATATGCCGCAAGTGGTACTTTTAGGATTTTAAAAGGTTATAGAGTAAAGCTCACGAAATTCTATTTGCTCTATTTAAATTCTCCATATCTAATTCTCCGAGCTTGACTTATGGACTGGAAGTGAGTTTAAGGTGTTCCATTATGAGCTGATTTAAAAAATATAGAAAAATTTAGCTAATCCGGAATATTATTGCAGCTCCGGAACTCATTGTAATTAAAAAGAAATTGATTTCATTTTTCCTTAAAGAGATTCAATTCTTTTATGCTGTTGCTATTTTTAATAACATCTATACATAAAGCTCATAAGTACAAAAGTATAATATACGACAATTATATATAGATACTTTATTGAGGATGCGATAATGGAAAAAGAAGCTTAGCTATATAATGTAGTAGTTGATAAAAATTCATTAAATCTGTTTAATTTAATTAAGTTAAAATAAACGTTTTTATGTTTTTTCTTCATCAAAATAATAAATTGTATTATAATGTAAAAATAACAATAACAACAAACTATAAAAATGGCGGCAAAGAATGTCTATGACATAAAAGGGACCATTATTATAAGAGCATGTTATTTTTATTTTTATTTTTCTCTGTGTTGTTTTTCTAATTATATTAAATCATCATCACAATAATTATAACAAAATGAATCATTCAAAAAAAAAAAAAAAAAGACCGTGGTTAATGTAAATATATTTATCTTTTACTTATACACATACATATGAAATATGTATACACCTAAATAATCCATTAATATAATAAGATATGAAGAGGGATGGCAACATTTTATTGTTTTTCACGGGCCATGTAATATTTTCCTTATGAATTACAAATATGTAAATTATTTGTGTACTCTACAGATATTTAGACTCAATTGCGCTAATAATTACAAAACAAAACTTAGATTTCCGAGTCTGAGTATAGATGCCAAAAAATTCGCAATAACAATACAAAAAATTCCAAAAAAAATTGTAGTACATCCATATCCAACTAATACCACCTCCGACTATTTAATTTTGAATTAAATAGTCGGAAATATCCTTCTGCCTCAGTACCTAAATGAGCGTTACCCAGTTTCATGAGTAACGCTAATTTATATACGAGTTCCAAATCACCTTGGGTGTAATCTAAGCTGATTAAAACGCCAATAATGCTGCCTTGTTGTATGAGAGCACATAAATGCTGCAATTTTTATAAGTCTTTTGAAAGTTGACTCTTAGATAAATCTCTGTTGCACGTATTTCACCTTGTAACACCGTCATTTGCCATTAATCTTATTAAACTTACAAGATTTACAAGTTTTATACTACGGCGAATTTATCTAATTTGTTGAATAAAATAGGTTGTTTAGCACTGATATTTAAAGGAGTACTTCATAAACAACACTATGTACTTAAATTCGTATACATTTTAAATATAATAAATATCACTCTATATATATACAAAATGTATGTGTATAAAGTATATATATTTATAGATATTTATAAAATTTCACCTTAGGGAAAAATTATTTCAATTTAAGAGAGACAAAGCAACAAAAATAACAAAGTAAAAAAATAATAAAAACAAGGAGCAGTAAAATATAAAACCAAGTAATAGCGATTAACAATAAGATGATAAAAAAAAAAAATTGTAAAATTCAACTTTTCCATAAGTTAAGAAGTACGAGTATCAAATTGTAACTGAATATTGTGTCAACTTAGTAATTTTTACTAAGCAGTTGGCTATGAATAATTCAAATAAAAAATCTTCTCTACCCCAATCTGAACTACATTTTTTCTCTTTTAAAATAATTCCTTATATCGGACGATAAATGAGGAAAAAAACTATTTTGTAGTATATTTACTCTAAACTCTTACATTATATGGTGATTACCCATAACACACCACGATAAATTATTTTGCTTTTATGATTGAATGAGTTTTTCAATAACGCTACCCTTATATTTTAGTTATAATATTATTTTCAGTATATTAAATAAAAAGGACATGATAATGCATTATTATGGTAATAAACGGTATTAAAGGGATCAATAAGAAAATCTATGAATTGCAGTTTAATTCGTATAAACAAATTCATATAATAAACAAAAATTCGTCCCTTTCAACAAAAATTTAAAAAATTATGAAAAATAACTAAAAATCATTAAAAGTTGTAGTACAGCTAATAATATAAATAAACGGCAACACTGTAGTTCAATATTTTCATTTTACCACAAAGATACCAGTTTTATTACCAAGTGATTCGAATGAATTTTTAGCATTTAATCACAATGACCGTTTTCAAAATGGAAAGCATAGTGCAGTAATTTGACAACTAGTACAAATGGCAAGCATAGTGCAGTAATTTGACAACTGGTTTGACAGATAAGAGAATAATTTGACATGCGAAGAAAATAATTTGACAGATATTGTTTTTTTCTCATGGAATGTTTAGACTGTTTCGCTGTTTCGCTGGTCGACGTTCACATTATGATTTGACAGAAGGTATAAGGTATAATTTGAAATAAGAGAGGCATTCTTTAGTGTAGCAGGGTTTTATGCATTTTACACATTGTCTACTACATTATTTTTGTTTAAAAGCATCATCACTTTAATATTTTATATTATGTAATTTATATTATAAAAATTAAATTTTATATAAATTTTAAAGATTTATTATTATTTTGGATTATTATTTATATACAGATACGTACGTATGTATGTCTGTTAATGCCTTGGTGTTTTGCAATTTACTCTAGAATGTGTTGTTATCAACTAATAATGGTTTAAGGTTAAATCCCTATCAAATTATGTAAGAAAATAATTTTCTATAAGTTGGAAAAAAAAAAAGAAATTTTTATGTACCTAGCATGTACTCGTACATCTATATCACATAAATATGTAGGTATGTATGTGCATATAATGTATTTTCTCCTTTTAATTCACTATACTTATTCTCTTAATAAGAATAATAATAAGAATAAGAAAAAAATTGAAATAAAAGGATGCTAAAATTCACACAAAAGGATGAAACAATTTATTTGAAGTTCTTCATACCTTAACATAAATGTACATACATATACTCATTCATATAATATACATACATATTTATATGGAGTACACATACCCTCATACAAGAGTATATATGTAGAGAAATAAGTGAAATAACACCGGAATTATAATTTTTTAAATCCTTAAATGAGAAAATTTGCACGTGATATTTCTCTCTCTTTACTCTCGTTTTTTTTCTTTTAATATGAGCAAAGTACATTTTATGCTTGATAGCTGTTTTTATTTTGTTGTTGTTGTTGTTTGTTTGTTGTTGTTTTTAGTTTAACAATTTCATGCAGTCTTTAAATTTAAAATGTTCTTCTTTCTTTGTATGTGAGAGCGTGTATATGCATGAATTTTAAAGAGGATATATGAAAGGAAATTTGTTTTTAATTTAAATTAATTTAATATAAAAAAAAAACACTTTTTTTTTATCCTATTTCCCATAAGAGATTTTAAAGTTTCTTTATTTTTTTGTTGAAAATTTTAAATATCCTTTAAGAATCCTTTTATAACATTTTTACAGTGAGTTTATTATTATTTAATTGTTATTTAAAGTGAAATAGAGAAAAGGGAATAATTTGAAATTTTGCATAAATTTAGGCGTTACGGGATTAACGAAGCTCGGTATTGATTTTTCATATTCACGGCAGAATATTCTCAACTATTTAATATTAGTCAAGTTTTGCATTATATCAAACTTTCTTCATTAATTTTGTTTGATTTCACGAAAGTTTGATTTGTAAATGTCCGTGAATTTTGTTTGACCTCATCTAATTCTTAACAATCAAATACATGAACAATAACACAAATTTTGTTTTTACTATCACAGAGCGATTTTTGAATATAATTTTAGTTTGTTTTAACCAAAACAGCTCAAATTCATTTCTCATCATACTGTTTGTTGTATTTGTTCGACCTCGTCATACAACATCTTCGCTCGCAGTGAGTAAATTCACATTTTATATTGAAATTTAGCTCAAATTTGAGTTATTTCAATTAAGCTATCACGATATTATTGATTTAATTTGGTAGCGTTAGTGACAATGGTGGCATTCTATAAACCTTTACATTTACATTTATTTATCACTTAAAAAAATATCTAAATACTTATTCAATTCTTGAAACCACAGAACTTTTCGACTTATAAGAATTTAGATTTAAATTAAGTGTTGGGTAGAGCCTTACTTAACCCACAATAAATTTGCAGATATTTGTACAATATTAAAAAAAGTAAACACCTTAAAAAACAAATTGCAATCTTATATTGAAGAGCGGAAAATTAAAATAAATATTCGAAAAGAAGAGTAAAAAATTTTACATAATATTTAATTTTTTATAAAAATAAATTCAAATTATATATATATATATACATATAATTATAGTTACATACCTGAGGGACATTAGATGAAGCATAATATGCCACATCATCCGATTGATAAACCGATTCTGGTTTTGAATAAATTGTTTCAGCAATTTGATGATTACCCATTGGTAATAATGCCGTTGCATATGGTGATGGCGTTGAATAACCTTTTAGCCCTAAATGTAAATTATAGTTGTAAAATTATTCACATATACTACATATATATACTACATATATATTATGTATTTTGTAAAATGTAAGTAAAATAAAAATAAAATCTTGTTTTCATTTTGAAATGCAATATTACACAATGTAAGTTAAAGTTGTTGGAGAAAATTGTTGACCGTAGTGTTATATAAGTAGCATGCAATGTATTGAGGAATACATGTGTATAAGTGTGTGTAAGAGATTTTTATATTACTTATAAAAAAAAAAACAAGAAATTTTATTTATTCAAATGTTGTCCATTCCATTTGATTCAATCACCTTCATTTCTTCCTTTAATTACTCTGAATGGTTCAATATTTTAAAGAGAAATTTTGTTGTTGCATTTCAAATAATAATTCGTATATTAATTGATGTACGATATAGTTTATCATGAATTTATTCAGAAATGTTTTATGTATATGTGCAAGTATTTAATATGACATTTTCTATCTTGTTATTGAACGCTTTAAATTCAAATTCAAATTAAAGGTATTTTTTAGCCTAACACATTAAGTTCATTCTTTTAACCCTTTAAGAAATTAAACTATTGTTTATTTCAAAAAAATATGATGCAGGCCAGTTTCTTACTATATGGTTATTTCTCGTTTATCCAGTAAGGCTACATAATATGTTCCTTATATCTAAATTTTAATTAAAATTTTAATTAAACTTACATGATTTTTTATATTCAGCTAATGGAAATTTATTTAGGCTTGTAATTGTTGCATATGAATCACTATTAACACTTGAAGGCCTACGATTACTTGTTGAATCCAATTTAATTAATGTTTCTTGATGATTTTCATACATATCGGTTGCACTTAAGCTAGCACTATAATTAAAAAAATTAATTAAAAAAATTTTAGAATTTGAGATTAAAATTTAATAATTTTCATTCATAATTTTATATTAAAATTTTTTGTTCAAATAAAAACCGAATTTATTGAACTGAAAACGAAATTGTTGAATTAAAAGTGAATAGTTTTTGGAATCAAGTTGAATTTTTTTGATTTGAATGTAATTTTTGTTGAATTGAAGACTAATTTAATTATAAAAATTAATTTATTGAAGTGCTTAGAAATTTTCCAAAATTATTCCTAAATAATTTATTCTTCACAAAGCATGAAATCGTGAATAATACACTAATACTATACTATTGCCAGCATTCGCTAACTCATCAAAGGTACACGTTAACATCCAGCAGTGGATGTGCAGTAGAAGAAGAAGCAGGATTTATTCTTCATTTTTTTAATTATACAATAAAATTATTAAAATTTTAAGAATTTTTATTAAAACATAATTTCTTTAAAAATTATTGGTCCTCCGAGTAAAATTAATTTCTCATTTAATTCTAATTTAAGAGGAAAAATAATTTTCCTTTCTTATAAAATATTTTTAAATATTTTCGCACAAGTTGTTGTCAATGTTTTTTCTCTTTTCTTTTCTTGTATTTAAAATTAAATACCATTTTATAATGATATGAAAATGTTTAAATGAAATTTTCATATGAAAAATATTTATTTAAAAAAAAAAATCTAAAAATATTTATAGGAAAACAATAATAATAATAAAAAAATAAATAAATATCTTTTTAGAATTTTTTATAAAAATTTTTTTCATATTATTTCTCTTAATTCACGTATGCAAATATTTTTGCACTTAATTTATACAAAAATATCATCCCAAGGTAAATATCTTGAAAATTTACAAATAATGAAAAAAAAAGGAAAGGAATTTATTTCTAAATTTCAATGTTTCTCAAAGTGTTTTCGAAAAGAATCTGGCCGCAAAAATATCCAAATAAAGATTTAACGTGAATTTGATGTATTCAGCAATTAAAAATATGTTGCTGAATAAGTAAAATTCGAACTATACCTGCCGATAAGCAAATGTTCAAATACTGTACGAACTCCTGAACTAAGAATCAAATTTTACTAAGAATCAAACTCTAAACTCTAATTGAGCTACTAGTTTTTGTAACAAGAATAATCTGAAATTGAAATCGCTGTAATACTCAGCTATTTTACAATTCAGCTTATGAGTTTAAATTGCTGAATTGTGTTGTTTAACAATATAATTACAATTCTAAAACATTCAAGGGTTTTCTTCATTAGAAATCTCTTTGAATTCAATGAATTCTCTTAAAAGTTTGAGTATAACTTTAATTATATAATAATATAAAATAAATGGTAAGGTGAAGGTACTTATTTCTACTTGAAAATCGACACAGTAAAAGAAAAATAATCATAAAATAAAATAAAAAATAAAAAATGAGGAAAAAATAACAGAAAGATTGAAGGAAGAAAAATCATACAAAAAAAAAAAAATTAAGAGAAAAACAACAATAATAACACAGATTTACCTTTATCAATATAAACATATTTTTCACTTGAGGTATTTTATGTAATAATGTTCCCAACTCCCTTAAGGATACAATAATACAAAAATAAAAGAAGTGAAGAAAAACGAGAGAAGTTGTTTATATATAAAATGTAGGTAAATATATTTTCCTGGTATTTTAAATTTATTTGTGTATAAGGTGAAACATTCAAGATTTACAAAAAATCAAAGAGATAGAGTCATAAAGGTCAAGAATGAATGTTATTGTGTACAAGACTAAATGCAAAATCTTCTATGACTTTTTCATATTTACTGAAAATTACAGTGAAATTTTGAGATTCAAAGTAATTTTATAACATAGTTTAATAAAGTCCAAAAGAATTTAACAGATTTTTCTAATATTACCTGTGGTGAATAAGCACTATTTAAAATTCAAAACTCCGTGGTGGATATCTATGTTTAAAAAAATTAATAAGATTTTTTGATATTGTTTGTGGTGAATATAAGCACTGTTTAATATTCAACACTCTTCGGTGAATATCTGTATTCATAAAAATTTGCAAGTATTTATGATACTGTTTGTGATGTGATGAATATAAGCCCCGTTTAATATTCAACTCTCTGTGATGGATTTCTAAATATATGTTTAAAAAAAATTAACAAATTTATCTTATACGGTTTGTGGTGAAATTAAATTTGAAGAAATGAAATTTTACGTTTCCTTATTTTTGCTTTGCACGGACAGCTAGCCAAAAAATTAAATTCAAAACAAGTTAATTGAGCTAGCAGCTACGAACATATTGAATTGCAATTGAACATTTTAAATTGAAATCGAACTTGTTGAGTTACAATCAATTTAGTTGAATTGTGTTATTATCGGTGATTAACCTACAATATCGAACATAACCTGCTGTTGTGATAATTTTTGTCGTATAGACAATTATTTTATTGGAACAACTTGTATGAATTTATCATATTAATTTATATACTATGAATTTTGTTTTCTATAACAAACACATATATACTTAGGAACGTATATAAATATAATATACGTTCATTTTGTAAATAACCTAAGACAAAAAAAAAATAAGTAGAATTTCTTTTTAACTGAACTGAAATATTGTGAATTGTATACAAGGAAAAGAAACCAGAAAACGTAAAGCATTAAGACAATTTTCAAAAAAAAAGGATGTAGTTTTTTTGTTTTTCATCTTTTTTCTTTCCTTTTTATTTATTTTTCTTAAATATTGTATATTTTTTCTGTTTTTGCCTCTTTTCATTCAAATGTTTCATTTTCTTTATCATATATTGAAAATATTATTTGAATTTGTATAGGAAAATTTCGTATTTTTAGTGTGGGGTTGTGTATATCACATAGTACGGAAGGAAAATGAAGAAAATTCCATTTTAACTAACAATGCATGTAACTACTATTTTGTAACTTTAATATTTTCTTTCTGCTTTTTAGTTATTCTACTCGTATATTTTTCACCCATATTATAATTATGTTTAGTTATGTAATATTTATATACGAGTGGACTTGTACATGTGTACAATATGTAGGAAATGTGAATATGAGAAAAATAGAGGAACGAAAATATTTTCAAAAATCTTGTGATCTTAAAAACAATAATTTTTAAAAGAAAATATCAAGTATCTTTTATCTTATTGTAAATAAATTTTCATAATTTTCTAAAATAAAATAATTTTGTGTGGTTGTATGTAAAAAAATTTATTATGTTAGACATACTCGTAGAACCCTATATTATATTACATACGATGTATGTATAGATGAAAGAATCGTGAGCATTTAAAAAAATGGCCAAGTAAATTACCAAAAAAAAAAAAATAAAGATGAAGAAGACTTTAGTGTGTATTGTATAATTTATTTTATTTTCTACAATTTTACATGATAAGGATAAAAAAGGATAATTTTATTTAAATTCGGTTCTCTCTCATGGTATGCTTGCATATCATTTTATTAGATAATTAAGTTTAAGAGCATTTTTTGCATTCTTTTTGAAAACCACAAAAATTATAAGAAGTGCAACGAAAAAACACAATTAATGTACGGAATGTGTTCAGAGGGAATTCATTGTTTAAATGGAAAATTTTCAAAAAAAAAAAGAAATGTCCTAAAAATATGAAATGGTTTTTTTTGGTTGTCTTCCAGCCTTCATAAACAAAGTTGTAATGAAAGTACCTTAAACTTAATTGTTTATTTAGAAATTGGATGAAGAAGAATAGTGCATAAGAATTTTATTAGGAGACATTTTAACGAGTATTAGTTAGTAGACCTTAGTAGTAAGTAAATTTTAAATTAGTCCTCAATTGCACTCCTTTTCGGTCATTCAACGCCCTCAAATGTTGGAATGTATTTCATATTTTTGGGCTTTCTCTACTTTTACCTTGTTTCTAAAGTTTAATTTATAAGGTCGGGTCTATTTTACTCCTCCTTGACACCATTTTTCATAATATTCAATTATTTCTAATAAAATTTTATTAAATTTAATTTTTTTAATTTTTAATATTCAAAAATCCATCAATCTTAATTTAAAATTTCGAAATTTAATAAAAATCTTTCAAATTTTCAATCTCAAAATTCAATTATATTCAACTTACTTTAATGAATCCTGCCGAAATTTTTTTCTTGCTCTTATATACATTGCACTTGCTAATAATCCAATTACTAAACCTAAAGCACATGTTACCGCTCCAAACATTTCAGGTCCCTGTGATGATAATTCAATTAAATTCAGATCCAATTTTGGTGATATGTTTGTTTCGCGGCTATTATGGTTTTGATTATTTTCTTCATTGTCATTATTATTATTATTATTATTATTATTGTTATTACTGCGTTGTATAGGATGATCAACTAAATTTTTTTGAAACCAAAAGATGAAAGTCGCATATATACCATTATTATAATCATTATCATTATTATTATTATCATCATATCATCATTGTCGTCATCATCATTATTGTCATCATCAATTTTGCAATAAATGTTAAACATTTAGCAGAAAAAAAAAGAAGACATGAGAATAAAAAAATAAATTAAAAATAATTTAATTATTAAAGGCATAAAATTTAATCGGTATGCGATTTGTCAGAATAAATATCTGAATAAATTAATTTTTATTTCATATAATAATAAAATGCCAAAAGACAAATAAATAAATGAAAAAAAAAAGAGAAAATGCAAAAGTTCATTTACAAGGATCTTCCATAAAAGGACAATTTTTTGTTTTTTACTTTTCTCTGTTTTTTGTCGTATATTGCATGTGTGTAATATAAAAAACATTCATAAAAGGTAGATATTTAATGTAGTAAATTTAAAATGGAATAAAAAAAGAATCAAAAAAAAATTTCATTACTTATAAATCAGTGGTGGAAATTCATTTGATCGAGAACCGGTTCGATGCATGAATATTTGGAAATTGGGTGGAAATATTTTTGGTAATATTGAAATTATAAATAGACAAATTAATTTAAAACAAGCTAAATTTGATCAATTTTAATTTTGTTTTGAAAAAAATCCCAAGTGTACCATACATTTTTCCATTGTGTACCAAACAATTTTAAATCCCTTCAAATGGTTCTATTTTTTGAGAAGTACTACGATAAAATATTTACTACATATAATAAATGGAATATCCAATTGAATTAGGAATCGTATTAGTTTGGTCAAAGAGTAAAAATACGGACCATTTCCTACTATTTTAAAAAATTTGACACAATTGTAGCATGCTGCATATGTTATTCTGTATGAATTTGGTACTTTATTTGATTGGGGTTCCTGCAAAAATGCAATATTTGGTTTGATTGCTTATTTGTATTAATCATACTTGTTTTCAAATGCGCATACATGCAACAGTATGATCGCATGCAATTAAGCAATCAAACAATTTTTGTAATTTCTAAACAAACAGTTTGTTGTTTACAAATTTGAGCTCTTAAAATAGTTTGATTCAATTGAAATTGCCGAACCATACTAATAAAAAATCAATTCATATATAAACCACTGTTCAAACATATACGAAAGTTGTATGATTATATATTTATGTATGTCATACAAGTATAATGTATGAATGTACATAAATATATTACCTTATCATATTTGAAGTACATATAAAACATGAGTAGGTCTAATTGAATTTGTTATTGAAAAAGTAAAAGACACAAAAAAAAAAGAAAGGAGGAAGGCAATATAGTAGACTCTAGTTAAAAAAAAAAAAAAACGAAAGAACAAAAAAAAAATGTAGCAATTATTTTAATGTTTTTTGTTTTTTTTTTGTTTTTTACCTTTTAGACAATTCTTTTTTGCTTTAAAATTCAATTTAATATCATTTTGTCTGGGTGGTCCTTTAACGAACATATGAATTTTAAGTGGTACTTGAAGTGACACATTACCAGTACATGGTAAATGTATTGTAAATGTTTCAATACGTTGTGGTACATATCCTTCAGCTGGTATACTTATTTGTGGTATACCTAATGCATTCTGTTTTTCAATTTCATAATGCACTGTTAGTTGATATAATAGCTGTAAATATATAATGAACAAAATATAATTATAAATTTTATGTTTGTGTCTATAACTAAAAAATAATTCAATATATTTAAATTCAAACAAGTATAAATGGAGAATAATTCTCCTAAATATATGCAATAAACAAAGTTTTTAAGTGCCATAGAGAAATTGTTCAAATGAAAATGAAAATTATAATCGAATTATTATCCTTTTTTTTTCTCTCTTTCTTTCTTTATTATTAAATTTTAATTTTAAACTTTTTAAACAATACATTTATTTCAAGTGTACGTATGTATATACATATGTATTTCTATATCAATGTATTGTGTATATTATGCAAATTTATATTCAACTCATGTGCACACAATAAATATTTTGTTCTATTTAAAAATAAAAAACAAAAAATCTAATTTTATTGTTATCTTTTTTTTTTCTATACTATAAATATACAGGATGTTGGATAATTACTGTTATAACAATTTGATGAAAGTTGACAAAAACGCCGGAATATATGCAATATTGGTAGAGTAAACTAGGGATACATATATTTCTTTAATTACGTTTCTCCTCTCTTTTAAATTGCTTACTGATTCTCTTCTCTTTTTCACTGATTACTCTCCTCAATAGAAGATGAACATCAATTTATATCTATGCGAATCTTATTAAATTGGAAACTTGTCGATTATTTTAATACCGAATTCAAGCTTTATTTAACCCTGAATTATCAATCATATAAGAATAACTTTATTGAAATTTATTTTAAAATGTAATGGGCGAGTAAAATTAATGTGCTGCGAAAGTGTTATACTTTTGATGTAACTCTTAATGTTATGAATAATTTTCAAAAATTTCTTAATTTCTTAAGTAAAGCCGCAGTGAATTTCGAGAGCGAAATTTAAATATTTCGAAAGACTCTATGGCTCAATTACAAGACCATAAAAGTACTGTTATATAAATGATAAGCATTCTGTATATTTATAGCATGACATTTGTTTTTATACATTCTTTGCAAAAAAAAGAACAAAAATTTAATTATTATGTAGGCTGACCATAATTAAACTTTAGAAGACAATAAATGAAAGTTTTTAAATTGGAATATTTGGAAAATTTCCAACCAAGTTTTTTCTTTAAAATCAAAAAAACAAAAGTTTTGAAATACCAAAAAAAAAGATTTTATTTTTAATTTAAAATTAAATTTTTTTTTATAATTTAGTTAAAAATTTTTTAAAACAAAACATATGAGTACTAAATATTCAAATGGTCTTGGATTGACAAAATATTGTCAACTTTAATTCCAAATTTTAACCGAGTTGTGCAGAGTTTTTAAAATTTTAAATTTAAGAGTTTCAAATAAATCATGGAGTAAGTCACAATTATAAATTTTAGAAAATAAAATGAGAATAGTCACACGTACTTAATGTCATTCAGCAAACGCTTTCCAAAAACTGGGGAACACAAATTTCGTCCAATTTTACAATTAATAATGACAGTTTAGCCACAAAAGCGAAATAAGTAGCTATATAAGCTTCTATATTTGAAAACTCTCGAATTGCTATTATTGGAAAATTACAGTTTTGAGAATGTCAGGTCTCTGCAAAATTCCATCCAATTAATACTGTGCATTCAAAAATTTTTGTCCAGCATAAATATTAGTCATATATGGTCAGCCTATACAACAAACTTACCATTTAAAAATTTTCATGCTCATAGAGAACAAGTTTTTTTTTTCTCTTAACAAAAGGAATAATAATAAAAAAAAATTTTTGTTTTTTTGTTTAGCATAAAAGAAAATAAAATAGAATACTAGAATAAAAGTAATTGAAACTTACAGGATATGAAGTTAAACTTTCCCAGGAAAATATAATGTTCTCATGGTCGGAACTTAATGGTATACGAAATTGTATAACATAATTATTAATATTTCCTTGATGTACATAGAATATATCGGCTTCTAGGTCTGTGAATAAAATAAAAAGAAATTTATTTGTAAAAAAAAGAGAAAATTTAATTTATAATTGAAAATTACATTTAAAGTGTAAATGTGCTTTTAATTATGAAAAATTGAAATATGAAACAAGTGAAAAATGTTTTATTGTGTTCAGTTTAATTAATTTATAAAAATTTCTGAAGTGAAAATCATATAAAAAGTATCAAAATCATTTTTGAAATTTAATCCAAATTTTATTTATGAAAATTTTTTCCTCAAAACATTATTCATTACAATTATGTAAGCATATTAAAGTAAGAGAGAAGACGTTGAAATTTTTCTTCATTTTATTTTTCATACAAAAAGCGTTCCAGACAGACAAAATTCAATTTCTGGCTATTTTTCATACAAAAAGCGTTCCAGACAGACAATATTCAATTTCTGTCTACTTGTCATACAAAAAGCGTTCCAGACAGACAATATTCAATTTCTGGCTATTTTTCATACAAAAAGCGTTCCAGACAGACAAAATTCAATTTCTGACTGTTTTTCATACAAAAAACGTCCCAGACGGACAAAGTTCGATATTGAACTGTTCTTATATAAAAGCCGTTCCAAACAAACAAAATTTGATTGCTCTATTTTCAAATTAAATTTAGAAAGTACTTTTTTTACTTTAATTTTCGAGCTATCTAAAGTGTTTGTGAAAATGCACACATGTATTAAAAAATTAAAGATTATCACATTAAATTATTTGCTGAATATGGGACAAATTTTGGAATTCCAACATGAACTACTTCTATTTCAATCCAATAAATATGTTAATTTTGGCATAAATTTTGATTTAATAGCTTAAACTTGGTCAACCATATCCAGTTTGTTTTCTAATAGTTTAATTAACATACAGAACACGATTTATAACAGTTTTTATAACAGTTTTAGCGCTCAAATGTATTAAAAACCTCTTCTAGGCGGCTGTAACAAATCAATTTCCGATTCTTATTTCAACAATAATAAATATTTGAACTTTAATAATTCTCATTATATTTTAATGAAAAATATCGAAAATGTTATACAGACTCGTATATCAATTCTTTAAATGACGAACAAACAAAAATAAATTGAACACACAAATGAAAAATCTGTTTATTTATGATACAAATATCCGTTTCTAATAAATATTATAAGTTCACATATGTACGCACAAATTCGCATACATGCCAGACGTTTATATAAGTACAGGAATGGCATAAAGAAAAAAAATTGATCCTCATTTTACTTAAACATAAAGATCCTATTAATTTTTCATTGATTTTATTTAGTTTTTTCTTCCAATATATCTTTACCACCCATTCATCTCCTCTGCACTCTATGAACATCCGTGTACTCCATCCCTTTAATTTTAACCTTCTTATAGCCCGAAAAAAAAAATATAGTTTAGTGAAACAGTAAAAGATTCATTTCAATCATTCTAAAATTTCCCAATTTATAAGAGTAAGTAAGAAATGGTTTTTTATCCTTGTCAACAATTTTTTTCTTCATCTCCATTTACCATTTCCATTTCCATCATCATCATCATTATCTTTATCTTCTTCATCTTCTCTAACACAAACACCATACAGTATTTATTACAAGTGTATTGTCAAAATATACACTGACATACTCGTATATAACAATATAGATGCGAGTACTCGTATATAGTGCAAGTTGTAAATTATAATAAACCTGAAATGTTTTATATAATATCCTTTATAGCATTGATTGATTCTTTATGATACGATGACACAATAATATTATATTTTCAGTAATATTTTTTTATTATTTCCTCAATAAATCAGTCTTTGTTAAATTATACGTAATGTAAAATATTTTATGAATGTATGTATACATTTTATATATATACATACACAATATATGTATATAACAAAATCGAGAATACAAGTGTCCTACTTTAGTTCCAAATTGCATATTCTAGATTTTTACATTATTACATAATATACAGTGGTGCGTATAAATGTGTGTATTTAGTATTTTACAATATCGTAATAATTCAAATGTGAATCAAGGACTTTTTATATGGAAAACAATATAAATATTTTTTCTTTTTCCACTTTTTTTAGGGAGATTTTCATTTTTCATGAATTTGGTGTTATTTGGTGTTATACAAATAGATATATACACATAAAGGGTGCCTTAACTTGGAAACTTCTTTCGGTTGGAAAATTCTTATTAATTACATTTCCTGCACTTCAAGCGCAATGCAATAAATCTGGTTCTCTTCTATTAGGACAGCAATAATAATAATTTCACACCAATAAAAAAAAGTAATATTTTTCTTTGAAAAGCATCACATCGCACCGGAATAAGGTATATCATATGTGACAGAGTGTGTTTATGAAAAAAATACGATAAAAAATAAACAAATACCGTGATATTTTTCCTAATTATCAAACCAACTTATAGATTAATTCATATACCTTTGCAATTATCATAAACCTATATATGAAAAAATTTTAAGATGTGTATATTTTATTGCCCACCAATAAAATTTATTTTTTCTTTAACCCATTTAACTTTATTCAATGGTATATGTGGCCCAGATTATGTTCCGTTTACCTGAAATTAGCATCAACAGCGTCTAAATGAATTAAACCACAAAGATTCAAGCGTGTAATATCATCAACATAAATTTTATACAAATCTCGTTCAAAGCAAATCTTGTTCCGTGACTCACGTATAGATCCTAAAGTTTTCCCTCTATGCCTGTACCTTTAAAAGGAATTACAATATTGTTTCCATTCTGTACATTATATTGAAACATTCTTACATGTAGGAAATCTTTTAGTTTTAAAGTTAGCGTATGTTAGATTGAACGTATATGTGAGAGAATTCAAACATATTGTGCAGAGCTCATTATTTTATGTGCTCGGTTTGATAAAAATGCATAATCAATTTCATTTTTTTTATGTACACATGCACAACCGAACATAAATTTTATGTTCTGAATGAACAGAAAACATATTTTTTGATTAAAGAATAAAAGTATAAAAGTTTTTAAAGAATTTCAAAAAATTTTTCATGTTAAAAACTTTCTACTTTCTTATTGTTTTTCGAAAACTTTTTTTGTGTTTTCTTCGTTTAATTTTGTGAATTTTTCTCAATATTTTTTTTTTATTTTGTGTTATAAATAAAAAACTAGAGAAAAACAAGTGAATTTTTTCTTTGTTCTTAAGTTTAATTTTATTTTTTTTTGTTTCTTTTTCATAATTTTTGTTTTTGTATTTTAGTGGATATGAAAAAACTTAAATATTGTATTGACTTATGACTCTCTTATACATAAAGAGATGACAAGAAAATGAGAAAATTGAAATTTATTTGAGATACATTTTTGGAAAGAGATACATTTTCTTCCATCAACACTGGATAGACATTATCTATTGTGCACCGGCCATAGGCGGAAACATGCGGGGCACCTAAAATAATTTCCCCAAAATATGACTTTAGAAAATCGGATGGACTCCTGGTGATGTGTCGCAAGAATGATCGAGAAAATTATCATCGAACACTTACATAGATTTTTCAAAAGAACCATGTTCCTTTATTAGACCATCTGTAATAGTCCGCTCAATGACGAAGTCATGGTTAACGGGGTGATGGTAGCATAACGGCACATTTTTTCTAATTGCCACGCGATGGACCTGCTGTACGAACCAAGTCACAACCGATTAATCAACAGCACTTTTCAAAAATTTTCGTATATTTTCATAGTATTTTGAAACAGTAACTAAATTTCAATTGTACTTACAAAGTTCTGCACATATACATTAATAATACACTGTATAGCTCAGACACAATCCCAAATTTTTTTTTATCTAAGATATAACCCAAACGTTAATTTTTACCGAATTAAGTCGATTTTCGCTGAGTTTATTTTTAATATTTAAAACATTTTGATTAGTCTATATTTTATGGCCTCTTCCTAAATAAGATCTCTTGAAATTTCGATCACATATTAAAAATTTCACATCACTGTTAAATTTAAGAGCAAACCTTTAAATTAAAAAAAAAAAGTTTTTGGTTGACTTTTTCTTTAGTAGCTTTTTCTTCCTTTTGTTTTATATTATTCAATTTAATTAAAAAAGTTTTTTTTTTAGTATTTTTAAAATAAAATAAAAAAAAAAATAATGTTTTCTTTTAAAATTTTCGGACACTCTTTGTAGTGATATTTTGACACATAAAATTTTTGAAAGAAAACGAAGGAAGAAAAAGAGTTATTCTTTCATCCCGTTCCTTCTAAGAAATGTCCTTTTTTAATTGGACAAAATCAATTGGGTTTCTTTAAGAAAAGTTTTTATAAAGACGAGAAAAAAAATTTAATTTTCCTTTTTTTTTCGTTTTTTCCTTTTGTTTTACTCGTACTTTCGAATATTATTGAGTTTTGTCAAAAATAAAAAATTATTTGTTAAGTTGACAAGAAAATTTATCTTTTTCTTTTATTGCTTTTCTATAGAAAAATAGAAAATTCTATTTTTCGTCAATTTTCGGAAATTCTCATATTTTTTTCTCTTATTTTTATTTTGATATTTTTCACGAGGGTTTAATTAATATTCATTGAATAAGTTTTCTTTTTGCATAAATATACTCGTATATAGGCGTAATTTCTAATGGAACTATATATATAAATAAACAGATAAAATTTACGAAAACTGGGTCATATGACATAATATTATGAATTCATAATAATTGAAGAAATTTGTGCAGCTGTGCCGTAATACTTCTTTTGAATTATAAGACGGTATAACAATTTGTCATTCAAAAGTTTTCATTTTATCACCATAAGGTGATTAAATTAAGTGAAAATTATGAAAATAAAACGTTTGTGAGAATATTGTGACAAAAAGAATGGATAAAAAGAGAAATTTAAAGAGAGATTTGAGAGGATGTTTAATATAGCGATTCTATAATATTAAGATGTTGAATATAAGAATCGTGATAAATTTATCACATCAAAATATTAATCGTGAAAAAAC